ACCTAGCTCAGAAGTGTTTTTCAAAAGCTAAGAAATAGGTCAGAGGTGAAAGAAAATCGTCACTTCCATTTCGAAAAGACTGGTGTGTTCTCGAGAAATACACTCGCTTGCAAATCAATTTGGGTTTCACAGGGGACTCAATTGAATATCTTGTCTATGATGTCCTCCAACTGAATGTGCTGCACACATGCCGACTCATTATTCAGTTGGCTTGATATTCGAGATATCGCAGTATATTTTCATAAGGGAAATTACTCACAAGGTTGCCTTCGAAGAGTTTTCAGCAGCCTCGTGAGTAGTTTCTCTTATGAAAATATGCTGCGATATCTCAAATATCGTGCCGACTAAATAATGAGGCGGCCTGTGCGCAGCACATCATAAACGAAGACATTCAATGAGTCCCCAGTGAAAACCAAATTGATTTGCAAATGAGTGTATTTCTCGAAAACAGATCAATTCGGGTTCAAGTAGATCAGAAAGCTGGCGGAAACTTGGGGACTGCGTCTACCTGTTGAGCCCTAAGAAGGGCAAAACCGGTCGTGGGCTGTCGAAGAGTTTTCAGCAACCTTGTGATATGTTCCATTTCAATGGGAATACTCCGACAAAAACTGGAATCTTTTTTCAAAGGGTTTTGAGGACGAATGTACAAAAAAGTATCCGCCTAGAAGATAACCCCAACAAGGTGCTCTCTCCGAACGAATACTCAACCACCTCAAGTATGAGGCCATGGACTGGTGGGAAGTAACTCAAAAATCTCGTACTGCAGCCAAGACCGCCATGTCGTCATTGGTGGACGGACGCGCGAGGAGGCCCAGGATGACCATCTCGGACTCATTTACCAAATCGACCACTACAGGAAGCTAGCAGAATGGCTCTGTGAGTCTCGTCCTGTGAAATTCGAATACGAATCCCATCATGCAAAATGGTTGCAAGGATCACGAGGTTAACATGGATAACCTCAGAGCTTCCTGTCGATCCTTCCACTTCCGCTGCAGCACGGAAAAATGTGGAGTGGTCTTTGGGCACATTGAAAATCTTCCAGAGATTAAACATACACGGGATTTTTCTTTGGAGGAGTAGAATTTCTCAATTCTAAAAGAGAAGCGCACGACAAGCTCAGTCTCAACGGTAAACCAACAGGTTTTGAACTATTGACAAACACAATATTAGTTGCGTCATCTTGTGTTTTTGTGTTCCAACCGACCGCGCCTCCGGGTTGCACCTTCCAGTCAGTTGTGCAGGTCACTGACCACAAAGAACATGAACGCTCGGAGTGATTCAAATTCCGCAAGGAAACCAAAATTTTTGAACTTAACGACCCTGTTTCTCTATTAAACAAGAAATCGCAGGAGCGAAATTCACGCCAAAGCACTAGCTTAATGTTCCCTTGGTTTGGTGGGCAGACGCAAACATGGTCTTTTGCCCAGGGACGTTTCCCTCGACCGCTGAGACAACCGATAACGCAACACAATCGCCGGTTAGTCAATCTGGACGAAACTAGCCTCGAAGCTTCCGGCTCATGAGGCAGCCATATATGTATATATATATGTTCTGATGAAAATATGAAACAAGCAGCCTGCTACTCCACTCCGATAAAAGTATTCAAAGTGAGTATGAGTGCAATCGTCACTCATGACGCTTGGGGCCAACTTCCTGAAACAGAAACCACTGTGGTTAAAAGTTCTGCGTACGTCAAATTTGCTATGTTGAACGCGGGCAAACTGTGAGTCAGCACAAACATAAAACAGAAGCGAGCGTAATCGAATAAACAACAAAACCGATGCTTAAGCGCGAGCCGCTCTTTGAATTCAGGCTGCAGTCCTCGACAGCCGAAAGCAAGCCGAAAACAGAGGGCTTGTGATGGAGGCCATATTTTCTGTATATTATTAGCCTTCGATCGGGTCGCAAGTGCTTTATTGTTTTGCAAACTCCAGGCTTGTAAGATTCTAGGAAGCACTGCACGCTGAATTAAGGCTTCCGTTTCTAGTAGAAGGTTCTGGGAGAGAATTCCAGCCGATATACCCTCCCTGAGAACTGATCCACAATGGAGATCCTATGGACATCGTCTCTTGACGGTTACTGATTTTATCTTCGTAAAATACGGGATGCTGCAAACTCGAAAACCGCCAGTGGAACATACGAAAACAAGCCACAATACTGTGCGTCGTCCAGATAAGCAAAAATGTGCTGTTTAAGTGCATAGGACACCGCTGGAGAAATTATCAAACTATTTTCTCCTTGAGAGAGAAACGGGAACCCCACAAGTGACCCACAGGTGGTATCTGAAGACTACGGAGAAAGCCATCCGGGCCTGTATTCTTCCCCAGCGACCTCATCACATCCAGTCTTTTCAAGGAGTAACTGCGAACGGCCGAAAGCTAACTTCTTCACGGAGGAGGGCATTTGATTACTCTTGCAAAATATAAGCCACTTCAGCGCTTTGGGACCGCACAATGTTCATCCAAAGATGCTGAAGGAAATTTCGCTCACAATTTTAAGGCATTTCTATATGGCGTTTTGTCAGCTGCAACTAAAAAGCTTCACACCAATCTATAAAACCGGTGACCGACTAGCACCTTGGGGCTACATGCTTATTAACCCCACTAGCATGTTGTGCAGGACGGTGTTAAGCATCCTGAGGCGAGTCATCTTAAATCACCTCAACACGAGAAACCTAATATACTAAGTGCAATATGGACTCTCCCAAATCGTTCCTGCGTTCTGAACGTGCTTGAACTTGTGGGCAGTTTAACTCAAGCTAAGTAGGATGGACTCATCTCGTAGGCCGCTTATTCGATTTCTCAAAGTCATTCGCACACGTCCCATTGTTCAAAAGCTTACTGCCCATATGTTTCAGGGGGACATTCTACGCTGGGTAAGGCGTTCCTCTTAGACAAAACATTACGAATTAAAGTGGCTTCGACCTACCGTTTTTCGGCCCCGGTCTCCGCTTGAGTACCTCGAAGCTTCGTTTGGGGATCGCTTCAGTTTCTAGGTCAATAAACATCCAGATTTATTTCAAATCCACGTCCAATTTGTGTGAACAACTTGAAATTCCGCGGTTCAAATGCCAGCGCCCCTAAGTGGACGTAGCCGCTCCAGAGCATTGGTCATTGGACTGGCCCCTTCCTCTCGATGATGGGAAATGCTCGCGTATGTCATTTGAAGGTGCTTCAGCGAACGCCCATTGGAGAACGGACCAGAAGACATTGCGATGAGAGATGCCAAAAGTGCTTAGTTATCTGGCTTTCTTCAAAATGGCCTTCGTATCGCACCACTAGAAGTCGGCCCAAATCATGTTCGTCGTTCCATGAAGGATTTGGCGAACCTTCCGCGCCATTACTCGCATGGACTTCCAGACACTATACGGGACATACTTCTGTCCGTTTCTTGAATATGCTAACCTAGTCGTCGACCTCAGACTAAAAAATGTTGTAACATTCATTAGGCGCGACCAACGAGCAGTGAATTCGTTAGATATGAGACGTGTCTCAGGGTGCATGACCACTTCGCCCTTGCGAATGGCCACCTCTGAGGAGACCAACAGAATATGTGAACAGGTTTTTCACCACCGACTCAACTAAAAAGCGGCGGGAACATAATAAAAACATTTTCGTGCTCTTAGCGCACAATTTTACGGGGCAAAATTTTTCTCATTTCGGGTAGTTGGTGCGTGTAATGACATCCCCTCGACTGTTGTACAACTTGCATCTAGCACCCACTTCAACGCACATTTTAGACACCATTTCAGTTGTGCCCTCGCGCTGGCAAATTGCTGCCCCGTACTGAGAACATGAAGAGCAGCGCTGCACCCTTTTTCGTTTCTTCATCTCAGGCGAAGGAAAGCTGCTGAACGACAACAGTCAAACCGACCCCCTAAGCTTAGGCGAAAGCTTCAGTCCTGTGTAACACTCGGTGAGTCCGTTAACTGACCTCATCGATGCGCTTGAAGTTCTCTATTCAATTTTTGTAGGCAACTTCAAATATTGAAGTTTCCATGGTACTGCACTGAATGATGAAAGCCGTGTTCATATGTTGCTCAGAGAAAACTTTGCGAACGCCTCTGTCATGTATGATGGGCTGAATCAGAAAAATTCTAAGTTAGGCTCCAAAAGGGATTTTGGGGACCGGGCTTATTTGGGCGAATCCTTTTTGGCTCGTCACGAAAAGTTGGCCCAACGGGTATTCATTTTTCTTCAGATGACTCAGAACGATTTTCCCCATACTGCTAGCATGAACTTTGAAACACTATATGGAGCCTCTGCCAGTTCGCCTTCTGGATATGCTAACAAAGTGGCCTAATCTGGAATCAGGAGAGGTGCAGCACCCGGTGAGGGTGTACCGCGAGCTTATAAAGCTGTTTTCACCGCCCCCAGGCCCATTGATTACGAAATGCATTTGAAGAACCTTGGTCATTTCTCCCTACATCATCTTTACTTCCGAAGAAAAACTGAGACTTTGTTGTGACTTTTTTGGACAAGCTCATAGTATTTCAATTTTTGGAGCGCGTTCTCCTGATTCCGGGGCATTGTTCCGTGGAATCACTTCCTCAGGCAGTTGCCCGCACAAATAATAGGACCAAGGCCAACTCACTTTCATTTGCTTTTATTTGGATCCTCACGCTGGAAAGTTAACCACCCAGCGCGAGGAAATTGAAGAACATCGCAAACCTTGCTTTTCAGGTGATCGGAGGCCAGTGAACGTCGAGAACAAACATATCAATAAAGGCAGTGCAGATGCCTCAATCCTGTGCATAACTCCGTTCTGTCTATCACGAAAATTAATGAGACCATTAATCTCACTAATATCAACAACCCATGGATGGGGCGAAATTCCAGAAGACTCAAGCCTTTAGCTTTTGGGTCTTCTATTTTTGTCTTTAACGTATGCCCTGGAACGGTTTTAATGTGTACCTTAATTTGACCTTGTCATGGAAACTGGGACGCACATTTTTGAGTGACCATGGTATGCATCCCAATGAAACATTTACTACGTGTTAGCCGTCTAAATTGTTGCCAGCAGATAAGAAGAAGAAAGAGGAGGAGGACAGAAAAAGAGCCGAAGAAGGTAGGTTGCATTGTTCCCCATTTAGACCTTGTCAAGATGAAGCAAGACTGCAAGCTGAGGAAGAGGAGAAAGCACGGCAGCTGAGAGAAAAGGAAGAAAAGAGGAAAAAGCAAGTTCAAGAAAAAGAAGTAAGTAGATCCTTCTATCTTCTGTTCTTGCATCATTGTAAGTAAACTAATTAAATTGCACAGCAGATTCGCTGTCTTCCTCTTGGTCCCTCGAATAATTCTTCAATTCGCAGAAGTAGGAGAGTGGGAACTAAAGTGAATTTTACCCAGTACCATCCACCTTGTGTTTTTTCGCTTTGTAACTGTGCCCACGACTAAGTACGAAAGTAGATTGTCATGCCCTAGAGCACCAGGGCATGTAAATCTGAATTGTGCATGCAAATGCTAGGAAGCCATTAAGCTTACTATTGTACAGCGATGCTTAAACTTCACTGGAATGCAAACAACGGTGATTGCCATCGCAAGATTTGCAGGCTGTATTTCACCCTTCCACACTGCTTCCATGAGTAGAACCATCTGCATTCCAGCGCACTATATTTGGATTAGGAGCCGAATCAGCGGTGCGCGTGGAGGCGCTCCAAGGGAATCTGGTGTAATCAGCCCGAAAGGATTAATTTAACTTGTGAAGTCAATGCAATCAATTAAGGCTTGTGGACAAGAGGAACTGGGACTCACCACCCATTCTTCGATTTCCCTGGAACCCCAACCTGTTGTAAAAGCAATCTGGCTATCTCAAAAATACTCGTCTTGCACTTTCTCCAGTTATCGCTTACCGAAAATCCTTAAACAGCACAGAGTCACCTAGGGGATCCTTGTTTTGTTGCCTCTATATATCGTCTCTAACCCAAGTGGAGATGACAGTGCCCACATACAGTTCATGTTCACTGTATTCCAATCAAACTATCAACGTTTCATCAGTACTCAGCCCTAAGGATCGATAAGAATGAGTGCGGAATTCTCTCCAATCATGCGATCGGTCTGGTTGGCGAACTGTCCAAGTTCTTTCAAAGCCTGTTTGATTCGGCCGTTGAAAAATAGGCTTATCATTCCCACTCACAAGGATGAAAAAAGGCGCACCCTTGCCGGCCACAGAACAGTCTCTCTTATTCCTCAAATTAACGAATTAAACAGTCACGTATGAGCTGGAAAGGCCCCCATAGAAGCTGAACTTACTAGTTTTCCAACGCAAAAAATGGGAATACGTAGTTAGGACCTGGACTTTCAAACTTCTCGCTGACTGTTGACAGTTGGACCGAGGAATTTAGTGTGTGATTTGAGGTGAGTGTCATTAGTTTCGAAGTTTCAAAGAGGCTTGACCCTGAAGAAGAAACTAGCATATAAAATAACGGTGTCCCATACTGCAAGGGGTTCTTTGTTACCCAGAAGATGAACGACTTCTTCTCTGGTTGACATAGCGTTAAAAAAATGCCTAACACTACTAAAGAATCTTTCACGTCGCTCCAACATCGATTGTTTTCATCAAAAATCCACCACAACCTTGAATTCCCTTGTGAAATATTTGCCAGCGGCATCAAGTTGTGGGAAACTGTGCAATCTCCCAAGAGCCCGAATTTCGGGATCTCATGGTTCAAAAGATTTCGGCCGCAAAACGGACTTCAAGATTCACATTCTTCTGAATCTTAGGGGTATTGTTAGATTTCACATCACTCCTGCCAAAGCAAGGAGGAATCTGCTTCTATTATGTCACAGCTAAGCCGGTAAAACTAGCGCTTTTCCAAAAAGAGTTATTGAATAACCTTTAATTTAACCCTGATGCTCAGCCAAAAGGATCCATCTATATTTTTGGGTGGCTCCTGTGTTGGAAGTCAACATAATTACTTTGAAGGACACCGCAAGGTTGGCGATCTTGTCCACTCGCTATACCAAACTTAATTTACTTTAACTAAGCTTCATTTTTGCCTGATGATTGTGGGTAGTTCTGCTGAAGTAAATTTAAGGGACCGTTTTAGTTACATTTGAGATTCAACCAGGCTTGCATATTCTCCAACTTTTTCCCAGGCTAGAAATTTCGAGGTGTGATGTTGCCAAAACCAACTAAACCCCTGCTGTAAACACCCACTTGTGTGCTTTCTCACATTTACGGAATTCTGGCATTCTGGGGATTTAGTGAATCTAGGTTATACATAATAAAATTTGTTTGATCCGCAGAATATGTGTGTTCACGTTGCGATAACCGTACACAAGTCTTTTGTAGGAAGATGTTTTGAAGCAACCACAAAACGCCACAAAGTTATCAGGAGACAAAATTTTGTTCTAATCAAATATAAACTGTGTTTATCAGCGGAAAGTGATTGATTCGTGACAGACACTTTGGTGTAGGCTAAAGATCACATGTTCAATGGGATTTCCTTTGAGTAATTGAACCAAAAGCTATTTGAGGATCATGATTGGTAGAAAAAACCTAATCATAAAAGTGATAAACTGGAAAAAAGAACGTGCCGACGTTGAGGTAAATTATTCAGTAATGTAAAATCGTATGGGAAAGTATATCGCTGATACCAATCCTTCTTCGTATATTTTTTCTCGCATAATTTACTTCCTTTAGCATTTGCTGGTTGGGGTCGCCGGAAATCTGACTGCACAACTGGGCGATCTAAGCATACTTGAAACTCAATTAAGTCATCGACTTGGATTTTAAAATTGATGACAACTACTTCAGTTGGTCGCTTACTGTGGTTTTGCAGCATTAGATTCTTTATTATCAATATTGGGGGCATCAGTCACGGATTGTGAGGAGTGACAACTGACCGACGCATGTTTTGAAAAATTCTGTGAATTTCGATAATGCACTCGTCTGCATTTGTTCCCTCCTTCGATTACAGGGCAAAGTAAGAAGTCACTGATAGACTGGCAAAGTTCAGTTTAGACTATTCCGTCGGAATCGTTTTCTGCTCTCTCACTATCAAGTGCTATACCGTTAGATGTCGGCACTTGCTGGAAAGATATTTTACGAAAAATGGCAAGATGTTAGCCTATGGCAGCATAAAACCTACTGGGATCGGGCCAGCTAGGCAATGAAAGCGGTTCCGAAACGCAAAATCCCTGAAAGAGTATTACACTTCATCTGCATGATGGAATCCCTGGAACAGCCGGTGAGTAGATCCATGAGGTATCTGAGTGATGCAGCCGTCCAAAACAAAGAAGTATGTTTCGACTGCTGGGCCAAGCGCTTTGGACCATTTAACTACACTGTAATCCTGTACCGTGAATCTGTAACCGCCAACGACTCTTGTGGCATATGACTGAATATTTTCCCTCAAGTATCACTGTGTTCCTGCCCTTACATTCGCATGTTCCAGATTGATGGTGAAACTCTCAGTCAGAGCACACATTTATGAAGAGGACACTGACCCAGACAACTAGTATGAATTCGTGTCAAGGTTGATTTCCAAAATAAGCCTAATGGTGAACGCAGTAATCAGGAAGGACCCGGTTTGACTCTAGTGGTAGGGAGATACTTCGTGTCAGTTATCTTTCGTCGCCCTATTGTGGCCCGTGAAGCACTGACTTGAGAATAGCAAGGGGGGTGCCCGCATGAAGCAGGTTAAGTGGACCCAATCTTTACACTCCGAGAGCTGGTAAAAGAATGCCATATGTATAGATGACCCATAACCTTGGTAGTTCTGGATTTCTAAGGCTCATTTGGCTCAGTTAACACTTTTGTTCAGCAAGGACTGCTTTATATGTTTGTGAACAAAATCAGGTCCTTATATTCTCAGATTTTCAAGCGTGCAAAGACACGTATAGCTTCCCAAATGTTTTTGCATACAAAGTAGTGTGGGACAGAGATGCTTGCCCTCGCCACCCCTATTTAGCTTTGTAATCCACGAGATAATTAAACGGGACCTAGTGTTCAGACAGGTTATATCGAAAATTTTGTCGATCTGTAATATGTAAACAACATTGTTCTGGTCTTTGGGGAAGACAATGCGTAGATGTTTCCGGATGAACTGATCAGGGTTATCCCATCCTTACTTTTTCAAAGTGTGAAGTAATGCTTCTTGACAACCAATTACCGAGCACACTACTTAAAACCCAAGAATACACTCAAATTTGTAAAAATAATTTGTGTGAATTGTGTGTCATATCGTTTCCGATTGTGGTGTGACCCACAAGGTCCTAGCACGAATCTTCAGCCTCGGGTCGCGTTTGCGAATGTGAGATAGTTGTGACAGCAATTTGGCGTATCCCTGAACGTCAAGAGACGTGTGAATCGGGATATAGTGCGTTCCGTTATTTTGTGTGGCTACGAAACGTAGCTTATGCCAGTAGCGGGACCAGTTCATCTTCAAATTTTTCACAACCGTTGCCTTAAAACCAATGGTCATTCACGAAAATAGTGTTTGTCCTGCAAAAAGGACTTTGATCAAAGAATGTGTGCGGTACTAAAAGCCGAATCATTTGGCAAAGAGTGCTGTTGTCCCTTCGGAACCAGAGATGTGGCTTAGCAGGGAAAGTATAAAAGCGATTACGAAAAGTCCAGGCGTTGTCAGTGGGACTTGCCTTCCAGAATGAATTTGCCATCATATCCTCTACACTTGGTTGGAGATTCTGCAAGGCATAGTGGTTTATCGATATAAGTAGCATCCTTGTTTTCAGTTTCTATTCAGATGGCTTGATTGAATGTTTGAAGGTGCAAGCACCTCAAAAAAATTGCTGTGGGCCAGCAATACATCCCTTATCCAACATGTTAGTCTTTTCTTCACAATAAGGAAAGTGGCAAGGCAGCAGAATACCCAAAACTATGTTGATACGAAAGAACTGGATGGTTCTTGAATCACTAACGACAGTGCAGTCATTCAGGGTCGAATAAATGATGGCAGCTTCAGTTTAGAATCTTATAAATCAAGAAGACAAAGAATTTAAAAGACCGTCAACCCATAGAAAGAGGGATATATGGCCTTAGTAAATGGGCATGGACTGAGGCTTATAATGAACAAACAAAGAAGCATAAATTGGCTGCGTGGTCAGAGAATTGTTGCAATAAGAAAGCTGAAAGTTTGGCCAGGCATTAATCACAATAGTGACAGTGGAACAATAATAAAAAACAATCCTTTGATGGTTAGCCACAGCTTCCAGAACATTGACAAAGGAAGGTTAGATAGACTACCTTCCGTCAGTTACCAAAAATCAAATTTATGTGGAATGACCACAAAATAAAATATGACGGAAGCAATCCAGGGTGAAACAAACTCTGGACCCATTTCAAAGAATTTAGAGAGGGCGAATTATGCACAAGATATGCAAGAGATTAGGAGACTTCAGAGCTGTAATTGCAATAATTTCACCAGCGAAAACCAACCGATATATTTGGTAAAAAATGGCAGAAAGGCCACTGGAGGAAAATGGCAGGAAGATCTCTAGGTGAAGACTAAAAGTACTGTGTTCAACAAACACAGAACAAGAATATTTGTAGAAGTGGCGTTTACTGTGTTCATGACACCAAAGGAGCCATAGCTGATCCAAGGGGAAGTAGGTCACTGGAAAGACACGAGTATGAAATGGAAAGAGCTGCATCTTCTCCATAAAAACTAAGCGAAGCAGAAATAGATTCACTGCAAAACAAGACAGCCGATGTTGAGAAAGAATAAAGATATGCTTCCACCTTATGGCTTCCAAAGCAGATATCGTCAAGGTATCATGGTGGAGTGGTTGGTCTTGAAGTATCCATTTCAGTTCTCCTATTCGGAATATATTCCGACCCTTGACAGCCTCTAGTCAGGCTGTTACGTGACATTCGTCCAAGTGTCCTCGAGATACCAAGACATTCTAGTTTGGTTTCACCAAAGGATTCCTTGGCAGGTGAACTCAGCGTCTTGCCTCAAGTCTTTTGGTGACAAAAACCTTCGTCCATTTGTAAATAAATACTATTTTCTCAGCTTCCCTCAGTTCTTGCAAAGATATAGCAAGGTCCATGTGTTCGGGTGCTTGCTGAGGTTCACAGATACTGCGTGGATTTTCTTCCGATGTTTCTTGGAATCGCACTAAATTTCCTGAGTAGTCAGTGAGACTGTGATGTAGCATCATCCTCAACCGATATCACGGGTAACTTGTTGGTCTGATTAGGTCTGTTTCAACGTTTCTGCATATTTCTCAGACATTGACCTTCAGCATCATAGTCATTTTTACTGTTATATAGCACTTTGTTTGTGGTGGCCCTCTGGAGTGTTTCGCGAACAGATCAGCGCGCCTTTGGTTATCTATGTTTATCGAGGTACTAGGCACGGCTATACTTTGCAGTTTTCCCTTATCTTTCCCTCGTCTATTCGTGTAGGTGTATGTCTTCTTGAGTACTGCTGTTCAGCACTGTGGTAATATCTGTTTGCACATTTGCTTGATCATCACCGTTGCAGTAATAATGCCTAATAATGAAAGCTGGCGTGCATTGTATTGGTTTGCCGCGTTAAGTTAATAAGTACCAATCAAGGATGTGCAACGGTTTTGAGCAATTTCTTTGAAACGGTTCAGAATCAGTCCAATCCACCTTTACAAAAGCTGCTTTAAACACTAAGAAACAAAGTACACTCCGAAGTTGTTGGCCAACTATTTGAGAGAAAAAAAGTTTCATCCGGAAATATTTTAGGATTGGCAGTTTTCCAATGAAAATGTACAATGCGAACGCGCGATTTGGCATTCAAAACATTCTGCATTCGGACGGTACGTTAGATGGCGTCAAATGTTTCTATAAATTTGTATTCTGTGGCCCGAAGGGGATTAAAAATTAGGTGACTTTTCGCATAATGATTGAAGTTCGTTAGTCGGTCCACTAGATTTATTCGATAATTCTTCTGAGGCATAATTGTATTAAATTTCAATAAACTTACCATAGTTTGGCCCCGGTTACGTTGGATCTATCCATAGTAAAAAGTGCTTTGCATTTCACTAGTACTCTAGAGTGTCTGAAGAGTAAGCGAACAGGAACTTTATTGGTTCTTCTCTACTTCCGTCATGAATGCTGAGACTTCTCCTAGGGCAGTACTGTGTCGGTGGACTTCTCAGATGTTTGTAAAACAAGAGTTAGACGCAACGTATCTATACATTCATAAAACTGTGCAAAATGGACGTAAAAGCATAAGGACTGTATTTCGGTAACTTGTCATTTGCTACCTATATTTTATTTTCCGATTTCACTCACAAACCATGGTGACGATTGTAAGATGAAGCAAATTCTAATTGTCTTTTTATTTACCTCCTCCTTGAAGGAATTAAGACGGAGAAAAACAGAGCTAAATGAAACTCGAGAACTTTTACATGAACATCGAATTCGCTTGGAACAGCTGGAGGCTGAACGACGAGCTGATTATGCCGTGAGAATTCATTGTCCCATCTGATCTTAGAAATTTCAGTGGAAACGGTATTTCCGATGCGATGGTTCTCCAAATCCAAGCATAGAGAAAGAAGTCAATACTTTTATGAGTCTTTGGAGGTTGGATGAGACACGTTTGACAATGGAAGAGGTAATGGATGACAGTGTGCACAGTTTGAAAGTAGGCTACCCGCCGAAATTTTCCACTTTTTTTCTCGAACCCAGCTAATCGACGAACTACAAACTTTGGTAGCAGATATCGGTGAAAATGAAGAAGATGCCCAAACCCTACTCACTTACCGAAGAGTATGTCAAATGCAAAATAGTATCACTAGTATCCATTCACGATTCATTAGACCATGCACGAATTACGCCAGTTGGTACATGAAAAGTTAGACCGTGCCACTGTGGAGACATTGTCTCGAGCAGTGCATTTTGCGGATCATGAGACATCAAACCTGCAGAAGACTTGGCGGAACGACTGGATTGCTGTCTGTATCTGGGCTAACCTGTCCAAGAATCCACGGTACTTTATATTCATTCATTACTCCCGAACTTTTAGTATACGACAATTTACATTCGCCGATGTGGACATCACGTTTGACATACCCAAATTCCTGACCTTGTCCGATTGTAGTTTTCTAATTTCATTCATGAAGTTCGATAACTATTCCGTTGAATGTGCTTCCTACGTATCACGAAAGGCGAGGAAAAAAAGTAAGTCAGTTAGGTTCAGCATGAAACAGTCTGTCTCACTTTTAATCATTTTCTGACCATGAGTCTAGACTAGTTCAACAACTGGCGAATATTTGGGCGGAGTGTCTTTATGTGGCCTAATAACTCGACTGCTTTTGCTTCTCCTCCACCTGTGGCAGTAATTCAAGCTCCGAAGGATAAGGCCAAGAAGGAAGCCAAAACGCACACAATGCACGCAGAGTCGGAGTTGACGGAAAAGGCAACCACAGAAGAATTGGCTGTGGTACGTTTGACGGCTATGCCCCGTTAATAGCAAACTCTTAGGGATCTTGATATCTGACCGCTTGTGTCGACAGAACCATGTTCGTATTCGCATGTCTTCTGGAGTAACTTTCTGATGACATACCAGCAATGAAATTGACTAGCTGGGGAAACTCAGTTTCTTTATAAGAAAACTGCAACAATATCAGAGAAACTACTCGGTAATAAATAATGGAGACAGCTTCAGCGAGTGAATGCGCAGTCCTGAATGACCTCAATGCACATGTCATTATCACCATCAGCTTTAAAGCTTTCACATGTTGTGGAGTGGTCATAAATACCACAGTCCTCTTTACCAACGATCTGGAAAAATAAGGGTGAAGTGGGTGGACATGGATAGACTAAGGACAATAGCTGATATCGTCGAACTGTGAATCCAAGAATGTTGGTGGATATTTTACTTGAAAGATCAGTAATGGAAGCTATGCGTCTGTCAAGGAGTTTTCGAACCTCTAGATGTTCCAATAAATCCGATCGTCAGTCAGTGATTGACCACTACATCTTGTATAACATAGGCCAGTCTTGTCAGAACAACGCTTTTGTCATCCACACCGGGGTGCAGCGAGAAAATCGAAAGATAGGTGTCCGAATAAACAGTAGTGACTCGTTCAACAAATGTCCCCAAGAAGACGACTCACCTGGTTGTGTGCTACGCAAATTGACTTGTTGTAAAAAGTTGTCGCGCTCGGCGTGGAATCCAGAGTAACTTTATCGGACAGGTGTATGAAAAGTGAATGAAGGCGAAGACGAAAGATTAATGTGGTGTAAAACTGATACTCTTGTATGAAAATGCCATCACATTTGACTGTGGAGGACAATATTGGTGATGGCACCCAGATGGTCCAGCAGGACGCTGGTGGTCTGGCACAACGGAAGGCTTAGACAGGCTTGCAGTTGGCCCTCTGTCTTTTCTATTTTGGTATTATCTTACTGATGGAGCTTTCAGGAAAAATTTAACATGGTTTCAGGGCGTGGAATGGCTAATGTTCAACAGTGCACGGCCAATATCAGTAGTGCTTATAGTGACTTCCGTAGACTACCTGGGTGTAACCACAAACCACTCTACCAGTTGCTGTATCTCCAGAAGCAGATGTGTAGGTTGTTTGCATCTGACTAAAGATCAATATTCTAAACCAAAATAAACTTCTTGATTTACCCTCTAGAAGTTCACCATTGTTATTCGTTGCTTTCACTCCCTCGTCCACATGCACAACGGCGAGTAAAACCAGGTTCAATACAACCAAAGCACAGAATTCCTGGGTAATAGGGAACTGATTGGGCAGAGTCCGAAAGAGCCTTCTGGCAATCGTTTGAGAATGTCATTCATTCCAAAACATTGGAGGACGAGTGTATTCATACCATTCTTTTTTTATTCTTTCATTTAGGATCTTTTTGCTGATCAAAATAAAACATCTCACTCGGGTGACGCTGAAGAAACCACGGTCGAAATCGAAGAGATTATCGAACCCCCGCCTGAAGATCTCATCTCGACTCCAGGTTGGTGGTGAATTTTTTGGTAACATGGAACGCTCAGTTGCAAGACGTTTATATAGGTTAGGTGTAGGTTTAATTGCAGTAGCGGTATGCTACCGATTTGCGTTCCCACATTAAGTAGATTTCTACCGGCCAGAATGGGTCAACAATCAGAACTACTTGGCCAAACGCAACTGAGGTTAAATAATACTTGTTGACACGATTTGTTTAACTAGCTGTCGAAAGCAAATTAAAAGTAAGAAAAGTATATGGCTGTTTCCCTCTGATTGGCAACGCCCTCTTCGGTGGCACTAGGAACAGACTTCTACGGAAAGCTGCATATTCTCAAAACATGTGATAGCTGGATATTGAAAGCCGATAAAGAACTAACAGTGGATACTTCTGACTCCAAGCTGGCATTTTACGGTGTGTATTTGTTCGTACCACTAACCATCACGGGAAAACTTGGCCCAGGCCATTATCCAAAAACCCTGTTACCCCTTGAACAGATTCTCAATTTTTTCAGTTAAAAGTGCCGCGTCATTTGAATAACTCAAAGCTATCGATTCTTGCCTTGTTTACTGGCAACATATGTGAGTACCATGTCCGTCAGAAAATATATACCGCGATATCACGAATACAATACCAAATGAAAAATGAGACACCCTCATGGAGCGCATTCACTTGAAGAAAATCATAAACCAGATATTCAGCTTCATTCAGCTGAATCTCTTGTTACAACTCAACTAATGTGGTTCGTGGATCATATACAACTTTGGTTTAGTTGAAACATCACTTTGGTGGAAACTTGAGGACTGACACCATTCGCTAAGCCAAAAGAATGGTGGAACTAGTTGTGTGCTCAGCAACCTTATGAGTAGCACGTGCCGTCAAAGAAAATATATGTAAATGTATTTATTGTTTTTAATCGGTATCGTCATTGCCGCCATATCTGATTTGATACTTGGTCCTACACTGACTAGTGCTGGCCTTGCTGAATAATTTCAACAAACCTACACGGTACTCGCGTCTAGCTGAATGGGTATGAACACAATAGAAACATCCCATTCTTTGTTGCTGCTAGGTGAGGAGCCCTGCGGTAGTTGATCGTTGATTTTTCGGGTACTCTGCTCTCTTTTCAATCTTAAGACGGTTATATGACAAGTTTTTTGCATTGTGTTTATCTGGAGTATTTTGAATATTTAGGAGTCATCGATAACCTTCCCTATTTCTTTTTCAGAGCCAGACGAATGGGAGCGTGCTGACCTGTGCCCAGATGCGGTCGATTTGGGAGAGTATCACGTCATTGGTGGAGTAATACGCTTTGATCTGCTAACCTTGCCAAGACAACCGAAATCTGGTCGGGGATGGAGTATCACCACATGTGTCCGACCACCTAACTTGACTCCATTTGAATACATCGTAGACGCTGGATCCAAAGGTTCACCCGTACCAGGATCCGAAGGTGGAGGTATGACATGACCAAAATTTAAAGTATTCGTCTTAGACATATTAGTTGGATTGCTCAATGGAAAGAATGTGTGGTAACACACGTAGTTAATGGCTAGTGGCACAAACATTTCGATATCAGGCAAATTACTTGGCTCCTAATGCATATCAACACTATTCAGTGAGTAACTTCTGCTATTTGCCTGGATAGATGGATGACTAGTCATAATTTATCCACTTCTGTCAACGCTTTCTACGGTATCTCTACGAGCGGAGAAGAGGAACGGATTGGTTAGAGGGATTTGGTGCTGTGTTCAGGTTTTAACACCATTTACAACGCGCCTTATTTTTACTATCAGATTGAGCTTCCAAACAAGAATACTCCAGATAGCACACATCGCAGCCGGCAACTCCAGCAAAGACTTCTATGGTGCATCTGCTTGCGTGGGACAATCCTTGGCTTATTTTTTATAGACTTTAATTTCCCGATGCTTGATTAACCGAAAGCAGACCATTGACAGGCCTTTAACGCCAGAATTTGTGCCTCTGGCCATCACTCATACTTGGTGATTTTTCGTCGAATTGCGTTGGAATAACGGAATGCATGCGAGCAGCGTTCATCGTGTGGGTATGCCCTTAAGCGGGCCGGTAGACGAATCGATAGTGCGTGATGTATGGGCGTCCATTTTCGAGCGAAGACTTACAGTAGCCGACAGAGAAACGTGTTTGAGTAAGCGGATGGTTACACGGTGTCCGAACTGATCAACAGGAGTCTTCTTCAAGGTTTTGTCCACTGCATTGGGAAATAGCATGGTTTCGGAGGTGAGGTGCACGATTTAAGTTGCAGAACTCCGCCACATGTAGTGCTCAACTGAATGGCAAATGCATCCAAGTAAAAACAAGCTATGTACCTAAAAATCTGGATAGATGAATTAAGCCATCACTGTATACCAATCCTTGTTTAATATACAACATAAACAACATGCAATATATATCCTGCCTCGATGTGACCACAACATCACGATGAAACGGATTAAACTCCCTTTCGTCTGGTCTAATGAAGGGGGAAATTCGATGCACGTGGGCGAGGAGAATTTCAGTGTGAGTGTTTAACTGGATGGGTGTGCTGCCGATAGGATGTTCATAAATCGTAACAGCAAACCCAATACGTGCAATTGTGATGGTAGTTGTTTAGCCGGTCATTTGTGTTGGTGTGACTAGTAGGATAGCGATACTGAATGGTTACTACGCACGTTTGTGGGTTCGCTAACCCCCTGAAACTATTCATACTTCATAGAAACAACGAAATCACGTTCATAAACAGTCGTCGATCATTTTTACAAGGCTAATTAAATTTTATCCTCACGTACACTAAATTTCTCCCTCAACAAAAATATTGCAAAATATTTCAACATATATTTTTTTCTTGAATATCGTGCATTAAACAGTTCTTCAGTTATACCACTAGACCATATGTTGGGTTAAAACTACACTTATTGAGAAGGAGTTGATTCCTATCAGAAGTCTAAGAGGTGAATGTATTTCAAAGAACATTACATTCGTCATCCAGTTGGAAATAGCATTATGTGGATTAGAACAGCTTCAAAAGTACTGAATGGAGACAAATACCTGATAATTTCAGTCGCTTGTGTTCAGATATTCTGAGTCAATGAAAATATATTGGGGTTCTGAAGAGCTGGGTTGGACAACCTAACAAAGGGCATAAGTACAACAGTCCCCGGAATTTTTCATGTCTTATGCTCATGAATAAAGCAAACGGCATACGGATAATATAAGGACGAAGTTGAGCACCCACCTGTTCTGGAGTAGACCAGTGGTGTCAGGTGTTTTTTAGTCCCCATGATATTCCAGCAATATATTGATCGATTCAGACTTCTTTGAACCAAGTTGGGTTCCAGTTCAGTCTCTCGCAAAATCAAATTTGTTTGCAAATGAGCTCATTTCGCTGAAACATGCTTCCCAAAAAATTGCATGTGCTTCCGGTGTTCTAACACTCAGAGGGAACACATCGAAACTTCGTGAATGATGGAATAACTCAGGCAGATTACTCTATCTTGCACATAATACACTGTTTCCTGTGCATCCTGAATGGTAACTTCTCCCACAGGCCATTTCCGATTCAAAGCAAAGCATTGATGATCTAAGGAGTCAAAGCTCAAAGCTACCAACAGGGAGTTCCCTGATTCGAACCCACCACTGGCTGCTATATTATTCCTAGCAGTATCCCACTCCCCGCGTCCCTGCAGCTATACATCGTAAGGCCACACCAGCTGAACGACTGTTACTTTTTACTATCAAACAGTAGCAACTTGTGAATATACACCCATCTGCAAACTAATTTGGTTCTTTCGAGAGACTCACTTGGAACCCAGCTGAATCTCTCGTTTATGATGTCCTGAGAATATCATAAACGAGAGATTCAGCTGGGTTCCAAGTGAGTCTCTCGAAAGAACCAAATTAGTTTGCAGATGAGTGTATATTCGCTGATTTCGTGCAATTTGATTTCAAGTAGAACATAAGGTTGACGGAAACCCGGGGACTGCGCCTAACCTGATGAACCCAAGAAGGACGAAACCGGTCGTGGGCTGTCGATGGATTTCCAGCAACCTTATGAGCAGTACATTACAAGTAGCAACTTGTGTTTATGATGCTACTTTACTGGCCACTGCGAATATCATTGGGAAGAAGGATGAAACATTTTGCGAGCTTAGTGAGCTGCCTCAGTTTTAAGGTCACGGTAGTCACTGCAAGAGTTCTTTTTTGTTGGCTGGCTCCAGGAAATGCCTGAAAGGATAACTGAAAGGACAGAGTGTTTTTCCACCTAGTCTTTGGTATGCTAACACTCCTTAGATCCTAGAAGTAACAATCCTACTGGTAGGCAAACAAGTGACAAGACAATTTTGATCTCTCCGACTGATTTGCGAATGACAGGATGAACCTGAATAGATCAAATCGCAGACATAAGTGATCAGAAAAATATCTGTAGTATAGACCAACTTTTGAACACCTAGTTGGGCTTACCTAAAGGTCGTAACGAGAGTACAAGAACCATCAAAGACTGGTTGAACACGGGCTCTGTAGTTCTGGCCTCTCTCGGTTTGGGAAAAACAACCGGTGATTACGAGGAAGCCCGAATACAAGTGTTTTTCACCACTGTTCGATGTTGAGATATGTCCTCAAAGACTAACCCCTTGTCAAAGCCTCTTCCGTGTGTAGCTACCAATTTGTTGGTCCTCGGATGACGTTGTGCTCAATGGCCTGTCAAAGCACCCTTCGGTGCAGTGTGGCTTCCCCTTGGGTCTTACCAAGGAGGTAGCAGTTTTATCTGGTGTTTTCAGGTGGTCCTGAAAACAACCGGCTAAATAGTGCTATGCAGGTATGATTAATGCTCTGAAGCCACCAAATGTTACCAGAATAATGTGTCTATGCAGGTACGTACCTGTTGTACGAATAAGAGAGGATCTAGTTCATGAGCCTGAAATCCTGGTGCTTGATTACAGGAGATTATGTGTCTCGAAGACTTATTTATTGCTATTATTTGAGCGTTGGAGTGACGGTCCTTGCTAGGACCTGAAAGGTGATCACCCAAGAATTATCACTTTCCATCAAAAATCAACAGGTCTTTGCTCGGGCTGGTAATGACTTCCCCGTAGAGGTCTCGTGGGGGGGGCGATGTCTCAGTCCTAATATGTTATTTATGTTACACCAAACCCTATCGTCTCCATACGGAAGAATCCAGCTGGAATAAGGAATACGTAAGGAACAAGGAATGAGAAGAAAGCGAGGTGATGACCTATGTGCAAATCGATAAGTTTATGTGGACAGCAGCAGTCTATTCTCCATCATTTTCCATTCTACTGTTCAATGCGCGAACAGAATAATGAAAAAAGGTTCAGCCGAGTAGAACAAATCAGGAACTCCTCACGCTTGTTAGATTTAGATGAGGTACGATTCTTCAAATGGCCCTTCATGTCAGTCAGACTTAGTAAGTCGAATCTACCTTAATGTATCTTTGAGATTGATACCCATGGGGAGTCAGTTTTAAGTGATATGAAGACAAGATACGTTTGGGAATCGGCCTATCGCGTTGAGCGGCAACTGTAGCAATAGTATGCCGGCGCCCACCTGCTGCCTTCCGGTGAAACTTTTGAGCCAAAAAAGCCAGTTGAAAACCTCAATCGTCCTCCTGTCTAAGGGTGGGCTCCCTGTCAGTCTTCCAGCCCGAGTACAACCACAAACCTCACAACTGAAAATATTACCATGCCACAGCCGAGTATGAGGTTAAAGCACTGTCATACAAGCACGCCTATTAGCTGATTTTTTTCAATTGATGAAACGCAAAGACAGGGTTGATTGGAACGAAAACTCATTAAGACACCAGACTACTTATGGTAGCTTATGTTGAAGATGAGGAGAGTTTAGGTTTCAAGGTGTATAAGTCTGTGATAAATACGTTTGGCTCAAACCAGTTTGAGAAAAACGATGACAGTACATTCAGTCGTTTTTCTCGATCTCAGGGGAGAAGAAAGAAGAACGCAAGGAAGAGAAACCACCGGTTCAAGTCAAATTTCGGTAAGTCAGTTCTCAGTTCATGCAGTGATGGGGACAGTATCAAATTGCCCACTTGAAGTACCGTAGTTTGCGCCTGCTTTGTAAGGATAATTAATCAGTTTAATCAATTATCAAACAAGCAAAACACACCAATATACGTCAATTTATGGAGAATCTTAGGAGGAACTATTAAAGCTTCCTTCTAGAATATGGGTAATTCCTGAGTTTTATCCAATCATGGTGTATTTATTTGACACTGCATGTTTTCTAGAATTATACGTTTCAGCTGGTTGGACTGCACTTAGGTACATAGTACTTGTGATATTCAAGGCAAGCAATTGTAGAATTCTCATTAGAGATTTCATCCTACCCATGAAGCTTAAAAGCCTAGAAGTACTGCACAGCTGTTTCATCCTTGTTGGGAATCATCAGCAGTACGCAGCTGGCAGAACTCAGTTTCCAACCCATGACTTCCCGCCATTGCTTGATCTCCTAACCGTTTGCCACGAGCAGCTGATCAGCAGTGTGGTTGACTCTCACATAGACAGGGTTTAGCGCCACTCATCCTTTAATCAAGGAAACCACACACCTGATCACTTATCGACTGGCTCTTCATGTAACGATTACCATATTACCAGCAATCTATAAGTAGATTAGATGAAGTTGTCACCCGCTTAACCGATTAATACGTGACCACGAGATGTTTCCTGTGACTGCCGATCAGCCAATCGTGGCCAAACAGCCAAGTGTTCACGCAGTGGCCAGAGGTTTGCGCGTTCGAAAATTAGTTTCGTGAGATGCGCAGTGAAGATGATTCCCAAAAAGGATGAGAAAACTGTACGATGTTTCTGGACCTTTCAGCACGGGCTGGCTTCATTATCCGGAAGAAATCTTCAATGAAAATGACCTCACGTGACCGATAATTCACAAAACTGACAGGGTAATCCCTTATAGTCCTGACAGCACCACCTCATTATCGTCATCATCGACAGCTTAACATCAGTGTTGGACACTGACACTTCGCTGTCGTAAACACCACCGTTTTCAAAAAACATTGCAGCATTGTGGGACATTATGATCCCAACTACCTAACAGCACAAACGTGGAGCATCCCTTTCCCATGCGTGGATATTCTGTAAAACTAGTGTCATATTAGGAGCTCTCTAACTCTTCAAGAAGTGCTGAATGAGATACCGTTCCCGGTAAATGAACATCGGAGGAGTATATAGTGCACACAATGCCATTACGACTGTCCCTTGGTTCGTATATGTACCTATTCCATTTCAATCCAGGGTTTTTAAACATAAAGCGGCCCTTCCCACGCTCAAGTAGTAACTGAGTTGGCACCAACCGTCGTGAGTGAATGCACAAATTTCGTTGAAGTATCATGCTGTGAGCATGAAGCGCGCTTTGGCAGCCAAAGTGAATTGGAATGATTGAACGGTCTTTAATAACGCTTTTGAAGTATGTCATTCTGGGACACACTTCATCAAATTTCCCGCAATCCACCATCCGGTTTGGTCACAAATCGGTGCCTCACAGTTGTACACAAACACTGACCCACCACCACGCTACACTCCGCTCCCTAACAACGGATCGATGATATTATCTCGGTTGGCGATCAAGCATCTGCAATCAAATTGCTCGGCTCGGGGGGACCAACGAGCAACTATGCTACCTAAGCCACCCAAATTCTCCCCAATAATACTTTTAGCTAGTATAGAAACTATGAATGTATGTGCTCCTTTGAGACCGAAATCATGGACTTTGCAACAGTTTTTTTATACTTCTAACCTTGATTGGTCTCCATTTTTTTATAATAAACAGGACCTAGTTCCCTTGTTCTTTCTCTAACTGATTGATGTAATCACAAACGACGAAGAATTCCCAGACAGAAAACCCATCTGGAGCCCCAATAGCGTGGGGTAAACCCATTATTTACCTCTAGTCAATAGATGTAAAGTTAAAGACACCGTTCATGTGCTCACAGTATCCTTCTTTGTGACGGTGATAAAGTAACACCAAATATATCATGGTCTGTCAGTGGGGCACGTTCGAGCATCGCATGTGTGGTTATAAACGCAAATTGGACCTACCTCTTGCTGAATAAACAGAACCAATAAGCCTGCCAGACCCAAGTTTCGGGCCTTTGGGTTTTTGTAATGAATCCTCTCCTCTCCGCACCTAACTGCCACACAACTATGCTGATTCGATTACGCTAATAAGTTTTCCAGGCCCAATAACGAAAGTTTCATTTCTCGCCACGTCTTTCTTCAAAATACACTGATTGTCACAGCACTCAGTGGGTTATTTGGACTAAAAACGATCCCAGATTTTAGGTGAGAAGATCACTAAATTTCCAAAATCCCCGCCTCTAGAAGGGTGGTGTTCATAGCAATGGTAAAAGTCGAGATTAGTCAGTTTGACAATGTTCATGAGACGTTTATTCACCTTTCAGTGGTCCTCTCTTCGGTGAAGGCACTTGTACAGTCATCATCATCATTGTCAGCTGTAATAACCGCGTACTCGTCGTACAGTGGTTGTAGCTGTCGCGGTTTCGTTCACCGATGGTTTGGGGGGATGGGTAGGTAGCTGCGCATTGCAGGCGGGAGCTGCTAAATTGGTGCATAAATCCAGCACTGTCAGTGGGCTGCAAAGTGGTGAGGGGGTTGGAAAAAGAGCTATGCATTGAAGGCAATAGCTTGGATGCACGAGTGCCATTGAGGGCGCCACTGGGCCATATCTGACAATGTCTCTAGCCATTGATGTCCCCATCCAGGAAGACGGCAGTGACCAGCGCGGCTGAGTTTGTTGGCAATGGCTTTCATACTTCGCTGCCAAGTCATTGTTTGACCGNCGCAACCTGTGCAGTGTGATCAGTTCATCTATCGAGGGTGAGTTATTTCTCCCGAATACCATTCGACGTACTTCAGAATTGCTGATCCGGTGTTCCCACCAGATTCGGGCAATGCTCCGAAGACATCGATGGTCAAACACTGAAAGTCTTTTGACGTCCTCGGCGCACAGCGGCCAGGTTTCTGATCCATATAGTAATATGGAGCGCACCGCAGCATTGTAAACTCGGCCCTTGACAGAGAAGCTGATGTCACGCCTGCGCCACAGGTGACGTAGTTTCGCAAAAGCTGTTGTGGCCTTCCCAATCCGGATGGAAACGTCATCTTTCGCGAGACCACCGGGACTGATACAGCTGCCCAGGCAAACAAATTCGTCTAGTACCTCAATCGGCTCATCCACAAGCATGAGGCTAGGGTTCGATCTCACCCAGTCTTTCAGTAGCACTTTACACTTTGCAGGTGTGAAGCGCATGCCGAACCGCGAGGCAGAATTATTTAGATTATTTAATATTGTTTGCATTACCACGGGATCAGATCCCAGAAGAGCTATGAGTAGATGTGTAAGCTTCAAGTTACCTAGCATTAACTACGAGGCCGAAAACAAAAGGTCAGGCATTAAAGCCTAAGATCTGAGTTGACAAAGGCATAAATTGACCAGTGGAGGTCACAAGCGAATTATGAGGCGCGGCAACGCATTATCAGCTTCAAGTTGATTGTAGCACTTCAGGCGAGGACTGCAAAACAAAACTAGTCGTGCGGTGCATCTGGATACATAATTGTCCGTACACTTTTCTCAAGCGAATTCCTTATTCTCCCAGGCAAAATATTGACGAATCTCTCCATAACCATGCCTGCCAGGTTACCACCCTGTTTGGTTATCGCTGAGGATCCAATTCTGGCTCGCTGGGATCCTGAAGTCAATCAGTGGCGTAAAAGCGGTATAGAACTGCAGGAGTTCAAAGAAGATGAAAACCTCATTGTGTTGCGTACAAGCGTGTTCGGTACAATGGCAATTTTCCAGGACTTCCATATTAATATGCCATTTCAGGTGAGCACTTGGACAGCCTTATTTGGACGTACTTTTGATACTTGGAAAGATGGTTGCTGTCCACCTAAGAGGATAAGGAAATTCAATATCCCTCCAGTTCGCGGTTTGCGTCCGCCTAACCTGTGGCCGCCAAACCAGACGAGTAGTACATGCGTTCGAAGTAGCCGAACGGTGATCAGGTCTAATTCGATGGATGGCACACGAAATAAGTCATCGCATCGGCTGAATGTGGAATAGATCATAGTGACAGACGAACCAGAAGGAACTTACTGCACAATAAACCACATAGCATTGAATCATCTATGTTGTTGACCTTGATGTGAACGCTAAATTTGGAGTTAAAATAGATAGAGGTCAAATGCCCCAAAGATTTTCCCCAGTGCAAGTGTCTTAGACTGTGTAAAAGTTGTGTGGAACCAGATGGTCAACAAAGGTTGCACAATAAACCTTAAACTACTCAACTGCTCTCGCCGACAGATGCACATAAGTGTACTGCATGAACGGCATCCGGTTGTAAAATTTCGGAATCGGCTGTTGGTAAAGCAACTTTGGGAGGGTCAGCAGCAACTCACGGTTGTGGCGCTTGTCTCTTTGATGAATCGCTTGGACGAGCAGTTACCTTTTGAGTCCGTGTTATGAAAACTATTTTATTTATTGAGAATCGGTGAAAATGTTTGATCTTCCCAACGGCACGTGCTTTTTGCCTAGTAATAAACTGAAACTAGGCTCGAGGTCTACATACGTGTTTGTTTTTCTTCACCTCAAGCTTCCCTAATCCATCCAGTTTACCTCATAAAAGTAGCCTTACCATCCATCTGCTTGCTTGAACATTTCATTCGAGAAGGAGGGGTCACGACTAAACCCCTGCTAGAGGTAGGATTCACACTTCAAATTAGTGACTGGTGTAGGATACCTTAGACGTACAAATTCTCCAGGGAAGTGGTCTTTCCTCACGGGATCCCTCCGCGAGACTGCTGTGAGTTGACAGCGGAATGAAGCAAGAGGTAGTCCAAGTATGTTAATCTTTTAGAGCCTTATGTAATGACAGTCCGAATAGTCATTAACCTAGCGTTTCTGTTATTTTCCTTCTCGTCGTAAGTCTTGGGAACTGAGACCTTTGCCGTTCAGACAAAGTAAGACAACAAACCCGAGCCATTCAGTCAGTGGAGCAACAAACGACTATACTCTTGGTTTGGGAGAAGCTGCTCCAATGGCGAGTATGTTCTCGGCTCCGGTTTACCGATCTCATACGGGACCGAGGTCAACGCAAGCTACGAATGAACAAATCAGAGAACCACCGGTAAGCTGGCATACACATATTCAGTGCCCCACTTTATCGATTTAAAAGAAACGCAGTGATCCCACACATTGGTATCGAAATGGAAATTAGGCTATTTGAAACACTCGTATTAGCTCTACACCACTACAGTTAACCTCTATGGTGGGTGCCATACAGAACACGTCTGGCTAAGACACCCATAGCCTACCTTCGCCATAGCAACACCTTTATCATCCTTTACAAACAAGGCTTAGGATTAGGCTGAGAGCACCCGATTTCCCTCATTCACGAAGTAAGAATAGGTGACGGATGTAGAGCAATTTACACCGCCAATGGGATTGTATAACCGTCGCTACTGGATATAAGTCCCACAGGACTCCCAATTTCTCTTTATGTGACCAGGCGCGAACGATTATGTAAATCATAATCAGCCAATCATTGTCTAAAACAAGTAACGAATTTGCTGCTCAAGCTGCTCAAAAAAATGACTCCCCTATAAGAGACAGCTTGCATATTCCCCGTGAGCTCATAACCGAAACCTCTGTTTCTTATGTGTGGAGTATCTGTTTCTTATGTTGAGTAACAAGAAAGTTTGCAAACTGGGATGTTGTTGACAGAAGATCCAACTTCCTATCTCTTTAACAACACAGTGTGCTGCTTGGAGGTCCGTCCGGGGTTCAGTCGAGCCTATATTCAAGCTTTCGAAGCATCTTTCAAACAAGCATACCAAACAGAAAACTGTTCGTATTCCATAAGGGTGGGGGTGACTAGCGTCCGCTGCCAACTAGGCGGGCATCAAAATTCATTCAATTCGCAATCTGTGAACAAAGGCCTGTAAGGTGTTGACTGATCCCTCTCATGATTGACCCCATCATTACATTCAAATTCACATTCCTCAACACTTCAATCAGTAATGAAGCAGTGTGCCTTTGTGAACAACACTAGAGATGTACAACTTTATTTCGCCAGTTTTGAGGGAAACTGCATTTTCTGGGTACCCGAATTCCCACAGATGCCTACAGAAGAGAAACTTCCTTAATAGGAAACTTTACTGTTTTGTAATTAGTCTATCACAATGAACACGGCTGGTCACTTTGATCATACACCTACTTTTCTTCTCGATTGAAGCCTAGTATTAGCGTGGTTGACGTCACAGCGACGGAACCATCAAAAGATCGGCAACAAACTGGAACACCTGGAAAAATGATGATGATTTTAGGGCCGGTACCAACCCTAGGATTATCCGATGAGGCCTATCTCAGTGAAGTGCCTGACACCAATCAGTGTGTGCTGACCATCACCGGTGGTTTGACGGAACTTAGGCTGCATATTTTGGGCGAACGGATTGCCGTGTTGCCCAGTCTACCGGAACCCGTTAACTTCTCCGAGCCTGGAGATAGCAATGCCGCTGAATCAGACGCCGTGCAGGAGATTCCCAATCACCACAGACACGAGCTCACGCACCTACTGGGACGTTGGTTCACTCCAGATGAACTTATTACGGTGCTGCAACTGTCTGGGGTGAACATGTTCCCACGAGATGATTCCGTCTGTCGTGTGGACTGTTTGGATAAGGTAAGTAAACCCACCTTATGACGCGTCTGCGTCATTTCAGTGATTTTTCACCATGTGGTAATTTCCTGAGCGATTACCAGTGGATAAGTGCCAATAATATCCACTAATTGGAGGAAAGATGCAACCATTGAGTGACCATTTTAGCATTCGTTTCGGAGCAGCTTCCAAGGAACCAACCAAAAGTGGTTCCTGTTAAAGTGTTACAGGAACGTGTGGTGTTACTTCGTGTGATGTACTTGTAGACTCCGACACTGAAGTAAACTAAATGTCCACGCCCATGATAGAACACCACCCTGACTGGATAAGAGCATTAAATCTTCATGGGCATCTAAATTTCGTCCACAAGTACACAAGAATCTCACCGTGGACATTCTTCTGTCACGAAATATGCATATTTCTGGAGTACTTCCCGTCGAGAAATGCCCTCATCAAGGGGACGATTTTCGATGGAAGAAGTTTCGTCGCATTGAGATCCCTCAGGAAAACAAGCCCCCCCCCAGGATAGAAGAGGAAACAGTTCCTGATACTTCACACAATTTATTCACCCCATAAGATGACATCACAACGGAAACGCCCGTGTCGTTTAGTTACCTAGCATCCCTAAGCCTGTCGTCAGCTCAGTTGATACACAAATTCGCCACATTCGTGGACGCTGAAGAGCCAGGCTTCAACTGACCCAACTAATACTTTAGCTTCGGAAATGCATACGCCACCATTTACTGGAACATTGGACAGTTGGAATAACGGTTAAAGATATTGCAACTGGAGAATGCGGCAAAGTAATCTAAAAAAAAACTAAGTTTCTCAAGATCCCGATGATCCTCGTTGTTTTCGATGTTGTATATCAGTATATCTGCGTGCTAACTTACTGTGTTCTTGGGTTTTATTTAAGTCCAGCTAGAGGAGAAAACCACCATGATCAAGATGATGGAGGCAAAGAAACTACAACGCAGCACTAACACACGTAAAACACGGATACGCAACGGCACTGAAGGACTGGGGCATTCATGCCAGAGTGTGAAACGATAGACCACACACCATACACACTCGGACACAAGTAAAATCCCATCATCGCATCACGCAAAGAATGCGGTACGATTATAAATGGCAACCCCCCCCACCAAAACACTGTCATCGAGGAACCACTTAGGGAGGAACCATGTACCACAATACTTATGCCCTTCGTCTAATCATCCATATCTGGTCGTAAATTACTCTTACATGGTTCGATCCCCACAGACCCATCCCAGGAATGGATGCGGGAAGAAACAACCGGCCTATCATGTAACTGTCACATTTCACTAGTCATTCTTCGGTGGAGGCAAAACTGATCATTACCTTGAGAAAACCGCGCTGTCTTAGGACGGAACAATTTATGAAAAGCTGAAGGGTGACAGATCACGGATTCTCGAGGTCAGTGGGTGGTGTGCAACAAAAACGAACAGCCGTGTGGTCATATTTGTGATCACTGCGGTTACTAAATCTCAACACACGGATTAGCCTGACGTAAAAGACGTGGGTTCATTTACATTTGATCGAAGTAACTCAGAATCCAACAGAAAACCGGAAAATAAGTCAGAGCACCCGTCCAGGAAGAGTCTATCTCACAAAGTTATCTGGAAATGTCGGACCACTTGTCGAACTGCTCAAACGTAGTAGTGACTGGAGATAAAATCCCACACTTGCTTCAGGCGATATGTGAAGCTGAGGACACCATAAGACTACAACGATGCTCCACATATGGAAAACCGTCGAAGTGGTAAGCTGATCGACGATCCCTATAAGATGATCCCGCGTACAGTCATGGATGCTCGGGGCATTGCACACAGGTTGTGGATGGGACTGACTGCTCAAAAACAGTTCCCTTCCAAATACTCGCCCATTAAATAGTGTAAGCATTGAAGTTTCGCATGAAAGCCTATTAAACCACGAAGGTTCATTCGGTCTTTGTGTGAGCTAATCGTTCACTCCCTTGAAGAACTATCCCTGGAATATCTGTCACCTCTAGCAACGGAAGACGTTTGGGATCGCACCATGCTGTTTTCGTTTCTAGTGCGTTCGTTCTTAACCAGTCTGTTCCCGGGGCAATAGTTGTTGTTGCTATTGGATGATGTTGTCACTTGGCTTCGAATATCTTGGCCTCACGTCCGTGTGCGGCCTAGCCCTAGACAGACAGGAAGAAAGTGTCACCTGCCGCAGAGCTGTGCACTAAGATGCAAACTTGGTGTCAAGCCACTAGCTGTTCAGATACAATTGGCAAACCGCAACTTGATGAGAGTTGGTTCAGCAGCCAACGTGCACAACTACATAAAGACTTCACGATCGAGATTTGCTGGCTTGCTCCAAAGATTCTACAAAGCCCGAAGGTCATCGAGCAGAGAAACTACCAATCTAGCTTCTGAATCCACACTTTACGCAACATACTGACTTGTTCCGGTCATTTAAAACATTTATCTTAGAAGACTCTACTTTCACAGTTGCAAAAAGCTTCTCAAATTCACACCTACACAACCATGCCAACAATATCCCATAAGTTACAACCAAAGAGCTACTGTCGATTCGATGAGTCATCACTCGTTAAATCAAAACGGCTAAAATCTAGGCCTATTCACATTATAAAACCCAAGAAATGAAAATCCCCGACCAGACTGTCATGTGCTATAACCATACGCGCACCAACAGCTACCACCATTTTTGTTCTACTTAGAATCCTATCGTGGAACAGCGATTTTACGAACAAATGGCATTGCTCAGTCCTGCTTTCGCGTTTGGCTGGTCACGATGGAATGCGGAATGTGGGGACCGAAATACCATCATTGTAACCGCAGTCGAACACGTTGACCAGGAACACGCGGTGGATGAAGTAAGTTACTTACCTTCAGGTTTCTGGTAAACAGCAATGGATATGACCGGCCCTTTTGCTAAATAACCACAAGGTATTTCTGATTAAAATGCCTATGGACGGATCACGTCCTTACGATGACCTAGCAGCTCAGCTGTGATCGTACACCAACGCACAAGTCAGACTGGAGAACGAAGCTAAATAAATATATGAACAATACAAGCAAATTCTAGTAATTTAGCACGCTAAAGATAAGATAAACGTATGGCTAACAGATCACACGAAGGTGCACAGAATAGTTGGGATAATGGAAAAATATGCAGTAGGTCAGCGACAGGGTGATAGCTCAATGCTAAACATGGGAAGACTTATTCTGGAGTGCACTAGTGTAAGCCTCGTGAGGTCACGCAACCACTCTTCGACACTCAAAAACGTTACCAACTGCAATCGCTTTCGAGAAACAGCAACCTAACAATTAGAGCTTTCCGTGATCTACATTGTCCTCTCACTAGGATGTGGCAGCGCCAGATACCGTTTGTTCGCATTAATCCGTCCAGTTATATAAATACACACTCCCCACATGACCAACTAATTATCGAGATAGTTGAACTGTAGAGCTACATTTCATCGAGATACTGGAGTATCTTGCAACCACGGAGCCCACGTTTGAAAAGGAAACTAGGCAATTCTACCGAAACTAAGGAGAACCGGATCGAGTTATGCAGGGTTGCCTGTACACAATCACACGGAAAACAAACAATTCACCTCGTAAGTTCTTTTCTCAAACCGTGATCAGGTACCACACTTCTTACAATAACTCTACTATTTGCCTTACTTGCTTGATTTACAGGATAGCTGGCGAGTGTACGCTATGGACAGAAAGAAGGTTAGTCGCCTAAAAATGAGAGAGTATGACGAGACATACAGTCGAGAAGTTGATCCCAATCAACCGGTAAGCAATATCATCAATTTTGCGCACAAACAAAATGAGCTAATCTCTTCCAGAGTTTGATAACAATCGGTAGATTTATTGCTGGGCAACGTTTCGCTTTTGACACAGAAGCTTCGTCAGGCCAAGCGACTAGGTTTCGAGGTTAGTAGAGATTAAACGCCGAGGGAGAATCAATCAGCTAAATCAAGTTAAATCTCTGTTGGGTGTCAGCCGAGGGCACATTACTCTTTCTGGACAGCAGGACACATAAGATTGGTGGGAAATTAAAAAGACGATCTACCAGGAACCAACAGACACATGAATCGTCTTAAACTACTCATCAGCACACCCAAAGTCGTGTACACCAGTACTGTTTCATCGATGTTTCGTCGGGTCAGAGCGCTGTTCACAGAATAGATCGACTGAACGGCAGTTCAGATCGAGATTCATCAGCATCGATAGCATGACACTAGTGTTCAACACCGATGCCGACAGACTTCAAGAAATAGGATGCAAGGGGAGTTTGATTAGGCGTCAACTAAGAAAGATATTGGCTTCGGTATCTGGACCCAGTAAAGAATGGATTGGCACAGTAGTCATTCCATATAAAGCGGGAACATCGGAGGTTATTCAAAGGCTGCTGAAATTATCTAACATTAGAGTAGCTTTCCTGAACTGAGGATGAGCCCATCTTCAGGTGATGTTAGCGGTGTTGATAGAACATTCCAACGCTAATCGCTTCGTGAGGCGACAACCATACCATAAAAATTGTCAAATGCCATAGCCGGCTATTCAGAAACCAAATCACATTAATAACTGACCGGTCTATATCGAAGACGTATCGGTTTCAGCAAGACACGCCATGGGTGATGGAGTTGCCTGTAGAATCCGTCTAGCGACCAATATGTCAGAAGTCGAGGTATCGAAGTGACTCAATGAGAGTGTAGTCCATAGCTTATAAAAGGCTTTATCTGCATCATGTATACACCCGAAAAAACATCGACAAGGGCTGTCAAAAGTGAAGCGAAATTCATGTGATTCGACTGTATCCTGACTTTGCACATCTTGTCTGCCGACCCAAGTAGATTTTAAGTCATCTCCCCAGGTGGGAAAAGGTCGACGTGCCACACGGAGCAAGGAGTTAGTATCGTTATTCTACCACAAGTATGGATTAGTCTCAGTTCATCACAAGTTTTAGTTCCCACAGTCGCTACTCCCCGCCGATTTCTATAGGTCTGATTAACACTGAGGTATTTTCCCGTGGAGTACACTCAGGTAGTGAACACACATCGGTAAGCAACGGTCCCAGGATGGGACCGCGCGGTAGTAAACGGTGCAGACTTCACTTCTTGCGCAAGAGTATTCGGACTCCGTTACATATGAAATAAGGTGCCAGTGATTGGTGCCCACACCACCGGAAGTTTGGCGAGCATGTTAGCGTGATGCAGCGGTGTCAGTTTATTCAGAAGCCTAGAAACTAATTCTGTCTTAACCGCCAGTTTCGGAACAATCAGCACACTTACTCACGACAGACAGCTTCATTTAAATTTTGGATTGATAAAACCTGCAAGTACGCAGTATTTTCGTAGGTATACCATCCCACAGGATCGCACTCGATAACAGCTGGCACAAGTCTTGTAAGGCAGGTGCCGATGTTTGAATGCGCTTGGAGAGATGCAATAACAATTTCGTTTTTGTACTTTCAACAGTGAATACCAGTAGTCTGCATCGTATTAGATTAATGTAGGCCCTCAGTGCGCATGCCACCTGTCAAGAGGCGACATCATTCGAGATTGAAAACTGAAATTCACGCACTAATCGACGGATAACACGGTCTCTGATTGGTTAATTGATGCACGGTGCAGGACAACTATGACAATCTGCTAACGAGTCAAGTAGTGTATGTGATCGAGCTACCAAAGGTTCATTTTTGTGCCAGAGAGGAACCGCAGAACGAATATGTTTTCGCCGGTTAGAACAACTCAGTTCTGCCGTTTGACCGCCTGATTGCAAACGAAAATCCAACGTCTACACGACAAACAAAACAAACGCACTGGTAGGTGTAATGAGAAACAATAGCTGAAAAGGATGGTTTTGTGGGTGGAATGCGATTGGCCCTGTCATTCAAAGCATGCACAGTCACTCGATACGTCAACAACAGAAGCTGTCTGTGTGCTGGCGAGATGGCCCAATGGTTAGAGCGCGAATTTACTGACCGGAGGTTCCGTGGTTCGAACTCGACCTCTGCCTCTCGATTTCTCCTGTCTAGGGTTGGGCAACCTAGTAGCATCCCAGCCCTCGTGCTTCCTTCGGGTGGAATGGCAGTTAGGCACTGAAAGGGCGCTACAGCTGAATGATATCTGTGCTGGTCTGGCATTATCAGATACTTTAACCGTAGTTTTTGTTCGTAAGCAAGTTGAAAATGGGTCTAGCGATCGTTAACTTTATCAGAGACCCATTAGTAGACGAGTTTCCACAGACCATCCACGGTTGTTGATTGTCCCAGATGGTAACTAACGCATGCATTCCCAATTTCGTATCAAACCTTAGGATGAAATTAATTGTTTTGAGGCATTTGGAAACGACTGTGGTAGCACTCACGTCCGATCATGAAGGGCTAGCCTAAGGGCTTTTATTAACATCAAAAGTGCAAAGTCGTCGGTGAAAAACGGATATCAACGTCTACTATCTTCCCGTCTTTTTTCAGTTCCACGCCGACTTTTACCATATGTGCATGGACATGGGCTCACAGGAAGCGAAAAGAAGAGTGAGAAAAATTGATCTAAAGTATTTCAAGACTGTGAAGCAAATGCTACAAGTCACACGCCTTGCCGTGTTTTCCTGAAACCAGCGAGGTCTGTTTGAAGAGCAATAAAAGCATTTCAAATATATTGTATTTCAGGTGATTATTATGCACTAACTGTGAAATGGGCACTCAGACCAACTAACACATTAAACACGGTTTAGTTCTTTGAACTTTTCTATCACCTCTTCTGCGGTATTCTGGACTAGTGAAACCCCAGCCTCTTTGCCGTACTCTACATAAAGAAAAGAAAAATACTGGTTACTATGGAGTAAACGAACCGTATCGGGCATAACATTTTGGAGAGATGTGTTCCGCTTCTCGAACCAGTATTTTCAGTCCGGGATTGGCATTCTTCACGCCTTCATAATACTTGCTCAAAAACTCTCTGGAATACAAAATGAGGACAGTGGTGTGTTTCTGCGCGTGGAACACATGAGCAGACGAAAGCTAAAAGGGAACAGTATCAAGGGGAATTTTACTTACAACACTCGCCAAAACCTTTCCTGATCAAAGGTGCAAAGTCGACTAGTGACAAACTAACATAATGTTTAGCATTATGAAGTTGTAAAATTCTGATTCAAAATTTACCAGTCAAGATTTCATTGGTACCTTCAAATTATAACATGAAAATCCCCTTCAATGCGAGAAACTAGGTAGCCCAGCACAGATCCGCATTAACGTACACGTCTGGCTTAACAGTGGATGTATCCATTAGCAACATATGGTCGTTACAAAAAAAGAGTCTGGTGATCCTGAACGTCAATTCTGACCAACTGAAACCAAGCTTAAGTAGTGTCCTCACAAGAAAGATCGTAGCTTTCTCCCATCAAATGAGTAATAACAATCATAGGGCTGACTTATCCTACATGCACATCGTGATAACAAGGGCATATCGTTTTGACTAGAACCTGTTCGACAAACATCAACAACACAAGGAAGAAAACAGACATACATATTCTACCACTAGAGTCGCTTTTCGTTGTCTGTGTGGCAAGCACCAACGCCGAATTGACCACGCGGATATGATTCCAATCATCATTGCCATCATTATCGTTGACAGCAATATACCAGTAAAACAAGCTGAGGCTTAACTACCACAGGACCATGAGAGAGAAGGACTTCGTATACAATGGAAACAAGAGGGAAGGGTAGTGAGCCAGCGTGAAGAAGCCCTGTATGCTTAAGGAAGACGAAAGTAAAGTATCCACATCTGGGCCCACATATCTGGGCTAAGGGCGCTTTACTGGATTGGATTCCCGTTAATAGTTGTCTCCGAGCTGTTACCTTGACTGGTTCATTCAAGGTTAGTGAAACTCAACGTGGCAAACTCAGATTGTTTATTGCGCCAGCACACACTCTGAGAGACGACAGCTTCGAGTCTGAAAAAAGATCTGGCACGGCTGCTTCGGTCAGCAAAATGTACATATATCGTTATTCTGACAGGTGATGTGAATGCCCAGGGCAGTGGGTTAAGTTCGGGAGGAACTCATCTTTGCAGCCGATTCGGGCCCGATGGCCACCATATAGGCAATGGACAGCGACTAATTCAGCTATGTAATGAATATTATTTGTTCCATCAAATACAAAATTTTAACAGAAACGTTCACATCGTGTTACCTAGAAGCCACCACCTGCGAGCCAGCCGTAGACTCAGCTAGACCACGCGCCAATCATCTATCCGTGGAGAGCTACACAATGTGACTCTGACCACGCCATTGTGCGGGTAAGTGCATTTTTTCGCTTTCATTCAGGAACACCCGTTGATGCAAGATTATTCTATCCACTACTCGCAAAAAGTCTCTGTAGTCCAACAATATTGGGTTGGATTAGCTGGAAAGCTCCCAGAATGCAAAGGGCATAATGGTAATAATGATGATTTAGATGAGGACCAGAAAGTGGTGTATGCTCACAGTTTTTGAAACCGTCTGCGCGAGATCGCTCGCACACCGGAATGAACGTCGGGTCTCATAAAAACCCAAATTCACTGTGAAGAAGCGCACAGATCCCCTAAATGTCGGATAGTTAGGAGCCCGATGACTGGCAGAGAAAACTGGTAGATAGCGAAGACCCGAGAAGTGGAGGGAGATTTTGTGACGGAAAGACATCCCATCCTATTCCAGCTAGCCCAATTAACTGGTTAGAGAAGAGTGGGTGGTTGTAAGGTCTCCGAAAACAACGAACCACAACTCATTCACATAAACGTCTTGAGTAATGGAACTCGATAGAGCCGGGCTCCACCAACTCATTCCCTGGAAAAATGACACGAATCCATATGGAGGACCGACGACAGAAGTTAGACGGCGAATTTCTTCATCTCATCGTTACAGATTATCTGGTCCAAAACATGCAGCTTAAGACAGGTAGCCCTGTGTTCAAAGATGTTAAAGCCACCGGATCATCAGTTTAACGCGTATGGCTTCCAGAATGCTTAAGGGTATTACCCTATGTAGGTTGAACCCTTAAAGAATGGGACAGATTTGCGAGAATCAACATATGTTTCACCCAATACAAGGTGGTAAAGACCTAACCCACGTTCTGCAATGAGTGGCCGAAGTGCTCCGCTCCATCCAGTAGTTGTCCACCTTGATACCAAACTTGCTTTTGAATCATCTCATCGCCAGAGACTAAACGGAAATCTAGAGATAAAACGTGTTACTGCCAACCAGTTGCAAACCTTTTGGAACAACCGGTAGATTTACTGCTAAGTAACTTTTCGCTTTTGACACAGGCTTCGTCAGGCCAAGTGGCTAGGTTATAAGGTCGAGATTTTATACGTAATAAGAAACAATCAGCTAATTCAGGCTAATTTAGTGTTAGGTGTACGCTAAGGGGTTTTGTGGGTGGGTCACAGTGTTAAGACTGATAGGGAAACCTACATAGATTTGGATCCAGCTTAGTGATGGACTAGAATTCTAGGGTGATCGAAATCAGTGACTCTTCAACCATTAAACTAGCAGCGATGAGAATGAAAGTGATGTTGGCTAACCTCAGAAGAATCAGGAACATGTACGGCAAGGTGAAAATGGCGTCTAACGACCAGGATACTGGCATTATGGCCTTCGTTAGAATGTAGCACCCTTTTGACGCGTAGCTGCCATGCCATCCGAAGGAAGCACGAGGTGAAAAGCTTCCAATTTGCTTCAGTTTAGACACGATCAGCTGATATGCCGAGTTTGTGTTCGAATGACAGACCTTCCGGTCACTAAGTTCGCGGCTAGACTGTTTTGAGTTCTTATGATCTTCACTTCGAGTCACTATGATAGTGAGTACGCCAGCCAAAGACGTACTCACCTAGGGGGAGAGACCGGTCGTAAGGATGGTGGCTTTCCAGTATTCTATAGATCAGTGATACATCCATTACGCTAGAGTGACCGTAGAAAGGAGTGATTGAGTTGTCGGGTCAAGATAAGCGCGACATGTAACATGGTGTGCCATGGTCCCACATCCGATTATAAATTATCATGAGGGTTGCCGGAACTCTTCCTGAAACTGCTTGATCGCTGGTGATTTAGACGCTCCGCAGAGGCTTAGTACGACTGTCGTCTTCTAAGTACTGTCCGATTGGCCAACCAGGATACAACCTGGACAAAATACGACGACACTGAACTGAAGAATATGGACGCATCTCACCTTGGACTTATGGTTCAGAGTAGTCACGCACTCAGTAACAAAAGCAGTTCTTTTCCCTGGTTCTCTGCAGTCCAGGAGAGACCTATGGAGAGTGCGCCTGACAAGGTAGCTGCGGCAGTTGAAAACACGGCATGAAATTATCCACACGATACCAAAATCAAGTAGGCGTGGAAGCTGTTCAATAAGATATTGTGCCACGTAACAATGAAAGACATCCTCTCCACCATCCTTCATTTATGGGCGGAGGATCATGCATGCCAGTGAGGGAAACTTAGGCGTCATAGGGTCAGTTAAGAAGCCATCGCTGCTGCACTGGTTCTTACGCACATCGTAACTGTCCAAACGTCCGTACTTACTTTAGAAGACAAAAAATTCACCAATTTGACTTATCCCTTGCAGTGGAATCTGCGCTGGTCTCCAGGAGGCCTCACGCTCACATCAGATGCGGGACAAATGCAAACAGTAGTATAGCTCTGATACAGGATATTCCGGTCATCTGGGTCAAGAAAAAGCGGACCAGCAACGCCATCATCCCTGAGAGCAATACACAAGTAATGCATATTGGCGATTACTATACCAGCAGTGTGGTTCAGTGGTTACGGTGGAAAACTCAATCAGTGGCGATCGGCGCTCGTAACCTTCTAACGGATGTAACCTTTGCACTTACATCAAACCATCATAGGAGCAATGGAGTTCGATGTCCCGAGAAACCTGGATGAACAGCCCCTTCCAAAACCGAGGATTTTTAACCCGCGAATCTCCTAGCTTTCGGGAATCAACCCTCTTCTGGTATGCAGCTTTCTTCAGTGTTCCTTGCGCGATCGGGTACCAAGAGGATTTAAGACAACCCGAAGAAAGCACCAGGGCTAAGATAACGTCAAGTTGCCCAAGCCTAGGTAAGAGCAGCTGAGAGGCAGAGGTTGAGTGTGTCCCATGAACTTTTCGGTCAATAAGTTCCCGCCTTGAACACTAAGCAACTGCGTGCGCGGATTTAAGACAAGGATCGTTGAACTCTTGTGCAAGGGCCTCCCATCCTGGGAAAAGTGAACCCAAACATGCTGGAGGTAGTGCGCACGTCATTCACGAGAACGCAGTAATCGTTATCTTAAACTTTCGTGACTTTCTGTCTAGGTACACGATGGACACAGTCTACCTGTTGCTGTATGGGCATCTAGCACTTACCTCAAAGATTCTCTGCTGGTGGTGGGATCCTTCGGGCATTTCGACAATTTTTTAATATAATTAACTGATGATGTATGTAGACAGGCATACAATCAGGGGGCGCTTTAGACCAGTGAGAAATACTGTGGGTTCTTCCGTTAATGTAGCAAATCTAGTGGTGCATGTCATTTTAGCGACCATCTAATCTCGAAAACGATACGTGAAAAGGACATGACAGCAAAAGTGGTATCCGGTCCAAAACCCGCTTAGGCGATAGCCGTTACTCTGCAAGTGAAGATATCTGAAAATCTTAACTGAAAAGCCATGACGCGAAAGGTGTATAGAGCATGAATATATATTGGAAACAATGGGTCAAATCTCATCTTATGCCATCATTATGACACATCAGCACGTTACATCGTTTGTTTCATATTGCACATGCTGCTATCGGTCATGGCCAAACAATATCCCGATGCTGAGCGATGTTCGATCTCGAAAGGAATGCGATCCTGTGTCCTAGAGAGTGAACAAGATCCCCTAGCAGCCCACGCAGTCCAAAATAACAGAGCTTTCCGGTAATATGACGACTATATAGCCGTCTGATAACAGGTGATTTGCACCAACATAAGTCAATTAACCACGTTTTCCGGTTATTGAACGGTTAAATAACCGTCATATAACCGGAAAACTCGGTTATTTCGGTCCGCCGATGGGCGGACTCTTAGAATTGAGTACCGAGGGCCAGACTAGCTATGCCCAACATACGAACTACGTTCC